CTTTTTCTGAAGAAGGGTCCCGACCCAAAACGTCAACTTTCCTGCTCCTCTGATGCTGCCTGGCCTGCTGTGTTCCTCCAGCTCCACACTGTGTTATCTCTGACTACAACATCTGCAGTTCTTACTATCACTAATTGCAAAATTATATCCTTGTTCAAAAAAGTTGGTAAAGACAAGGCTAGCAATCACAGACTAGTCACTTTAATTGGTATTCGGAAACTTCTAGAAACAATTATTTGGGCTTCAATTAATAGTTACATGGAAAAAACATGGGTTGATTCAGAGGAGTCAGGAAGGATTTGTTTTGGAAAAAGAAAATTGTGTCTAACTTGCAAGAGTTTTTTGAAGTTGCAACAGGGAAGATTGATGATGGCAAGATCATTGGTATATTAACTTCCAAGTGTTCAGTACCCTGCTACACAGACTTGTGAAGAAGGTTATAGGTCATGGAATAAAAGGGACAACGGCAATGTGGATATAAAATTGGCTGAGGGATAGGAAACAGACTTCAGAGATGGCACAAAATTTCACAGAATTGTAAACTGTGAGGAGGGCACCATTCTAAATGGTGAGTAGGAGCAGACAGACAGCGTGTATATATATTAAAGGTGGCAGGCAAGGTAGAAAGAGCTGTTAATAAAGCAGACAGTATTCTCAGCTTCATAAAGTATACAAAGTGTAAGAGTAGGGAGGTTTTGCTTAATGTGCTGAACATAAGACATGAGCTAGACCTCAGCTGAGTACTGTGCATATTTCTAGGTGCTATACTTTCAGAAAGACATGAATGCATTGGAAGGTAGCACAGTGACTCAGTGGTTAGTACTGCTGTCTCAAACCACGAGGGATCCAGGTTCAATTCCACCCTTAGGACAGGGACTGTGTGGAGTTTGCACATTCTGCCCACGTCTGCATGGTTATCCTCTGGGTTTCCTCCCACAGTCCAAAGATGTGCAGGTTAGGTGGATTAGCCATGGGTAATTGTAGGGTTACAGGGATGGGGTAAGGTGGGTCTGGATGGGATGTTGTTCGGAGGGTAGGTGTGGACTTGATGGGCCAAATGGCCTGCTTTCATACTATAGGGATTCTATGATTCTAAGTGCAAAAGAGGTTTGTGAGAATGGTTCAAAAGATGAGGAAAATTCAAGTGTAAAGAATGGATTGGAGAAGTTGGGATTGTTTTTCTTAGAGAGGAGAAGATTGCAGGGAGGTATGTTAAAGTTTCAAAATCACTAGGGTCTTACCGCACTCTCCGCGGCTCCACGCTCTCTACTAACCCACCTCCGGCATCTTTCCCTGCAACTGTAGGAAATCCTACACCTACCACCTTACCTCCATTCAAGACACAAAACAAACCTTCCATATCAGACAGGGATTCACCTGCACATCCGTCAACTTAGTCTGCTGTACCCGCTGCTCCCGATGTGGCCTGCTCTACATCCCTGAGACCAAGTGGAGGCTCGGAGACCCGGAGACCGTTTTGTCGAGCATCTGTGCTGTAGATGTGACAAACAACAGCACCTTCCAGTCGCCAACCATTTTAACTCCCCCTCTCACTCCCTGGGTGACATGTCCATCCTGGGCCTCCTCCAGTGCCACAATGACACCACCCACAAACTGGAGAAGCAATACCTCATATTTTGCCTCAGGAGCCTACAGCCTGATGGCCTAAACATGGAATTCACCAGTTTTAAAATCTCCCCACCCCAGGCCTCATCCCCACCTCCTTGACCTGACATAATCTGTCCATCTTCTCTCCCACCTACTTGACCCATCCACCCCACTGACCAATCCCCACCACTCCGTACCTGCACTCACCTATCACCATCCCACCTACCTTCCCCAGCCCCACCCTCCTCTCTCTATTTATTTCCCAGCTCCCTTTCCCCTCACCATTTCTGAAGAAGGGTCCCGACCTGAAACATCAACTTTCCTGCTCCTCTGATGCTGCCTGGCCTGCTGTGTTGCTCCATCTCCACACTGTGTTGTCTCTGACTCCAGCATCTGCAGTTCTTGCTATCTCTAAGGAAAAACTGTTCCCACTCAGAAGGATCAGAAACCAGAGGGCACAGTTTTAAAGACGTGTTGTTTGTGAAAGAAACAATTATGAGATTAGAGTGATACCTGGATCATGACTGCACTGCCTGGAAATGTGATGGAGGCAGGTTCATTTGATGCATGCAACAGAACATTTCTGATTGTCTGAATAGAAACAATGTAGAGGGTTGTAGTGAAACTGCAGGAGATTGACACTGAGTGATAATATTCAGACAACAGTGCAAACATGATGGTCCAAATGGCCCCCTTCTGCACTAACAATTTTGTGATGACTGCTTAGTACCTCACCAAGTCAGCCATGCTTTTGTATCTAAAATCAAGTGGTGAATGTTAACTGACTGGTCAACTATAAAGGCATTACAGTCAACTTGCCAATGTGTCCACCTGCTGCAATCACCATGTGAGTGCAAATTCCTAGGTACTAGGTATTTTTCAAGAGGGTAACCATGGATGGTTTTCCTCTCCTGAGCCTGACAATACTGCTTCCATCTCCATCTGTTGATCTCACATAACTCAACATGGACTGGGAACTGAACCAAAAGCCAAGTTCAGGATAATACCTGGCAGTACATGCACAACCATTGAATCTTTAGTACAAGGGAAGAGAAATAGCTTCTTGGCAACATTTTTATGCTTCCAATAGTGAACCAAGTTATGAAGAAGTGAAGTTGTCCCTGTTAGTTTATTAATATGCTGTGTCATAGCATGAACAAGACAATTTCCTACTCAGGCAATGTCCTGAAAGACATGTTAAAATGCTATAACTTTCAAATTCTTCCACCAGTATGGATCTGAGCTTTTTCTTTGTAAATCAAAAAGGGAGGGGATGAAGGAAAATGAACCTAAAGATTAAAAATAACTTCACAAAACATGATAGCGATCGGAATAAAATAGTGACATGAGCCCAATAAGTCAACATCGCTCCTTATTTTCAGATTAACCACCAAAATGGCAAATCTACCTGTTTTCTTGGAACTACTAATTGCCTTTTTTTTTTACCCCTTTTAACTCAAGACCTGGCTGGCTATTTTTCGCTGGAATTTAGAAGAAAAAGGAGTGATTTGATTAAAGTTTATACTATCCAGAATGGTCTTGAGAAGGTGGCCATGGAAAGGACATTTTTCTTTTGGTTGAGTCCAGAAAGGTTTTAAAATTAGGGCTTACCCTTTTGGACTGAGAGGAAGAGACCTGTTTGCTCCCAGAAGGTGCTAAGACTTTGGAACTTTGCCTCAGAAAGTTTGGGAGGTGGGGTTATAAATATTTTTAAGGCGGAGGTAGATGGCTTCATGTTTAGGCAAAGGAATGAAAGATTATTAGAGATACATGGGAATGTGGAAGTCAGAACACAAATAGATCAGCCATCATTTTATTGAATGTCTGAGCAAGGTCTGTCTTCTACTCCTAATTTATAACTTTGTATGTATATTCAAATGGCAAAATTATTCAACTGCAAATTAGTTGAAGTTATTTAAAATTTCTTCCTCAACAACTTGAACTTTTTTGACACTTGCACAATAAGCCTGTTTTGTAGCATTGTGAAGGGAAAAGGCAGGAAAATGGCAAACGAAAACTGTAACTCAGCTTCAAGTATGGGGTGAAATGTATGATGAAATGAAAAGAGAAGCAAGTTTTTTAAGTTCTTCAACTGTCATACCAATTAATGCTGATTTTTAAAATGCCTGGACAGGAGCATTGAAGAAATTATTCCCAACATTAAAGGGGATTGCATGGGGATGTTGAAAAACTGATTTCAGAAGATTGATGTTTTGTACAGTTTTTTTGAAGAATTGATAGAAATGTAATGTTCATTTTAATGTTCACACTGTACCTGTACAAATTTCAATATACACAGCCTTTAGAATTGGGAGTGTGTGTGGATTTCATTGTACATCGACAGAAATTGTACCTGTATGTGACTACTGAAGTACGGAGATTTTAGCTGTGTCTATGTGGAACTTCTGTACACTACAATTAGTTTGGTGCAAATTTCGATATAAAGACTAGAAATATCGCAAGTGCCTTAACGTCCGCGGAGAGGCACTTAAATCCTGCAGAAAATAATGTTCAGCTTGAAAGTGTGGGTGTGTTATAATTAAACCTGTGTGTCAGAGATGGAAAGTACATCTACACGAATTTCCGGACCGAGGCAGAACTGCTTTATGTAACAGCATTTCCTCTGTAACTCGGTTTCATTGTTCTGACGAAGGGTCACTGCACTCGAAAAGTTAAAATCTGTTTTTCCCTTCTCCCTCTCTCCACAGATGCTGCCAATCCTACTGAATTTCTCCAGCACTTTGTGTTTTTATTTCAGAATTTCCAGCATCCGCAGTTCTTTGTTTTTATTTAATTGCAATGGTTGCGGAGATGAAGAATTGTGCTGACA